GTGTGTGTGTGTGTGTGTGTGTGTGTGTGTGTGTGTGTGTAAAAGCAAATGGGCAAAAAAGGCTTTCATTCAATAACCTGCTTGATTTGCTAGCCTAGAAACAAGATTTAAGAAGCATCTCTTTCCTTTTCAACAGGGTGAATCGGTGAAATACTTCCTGGATAACCTGGATCGGATTGGCCAGCTGGTGAGATGTAACTATTTATAGTCCACAGCGGTTAAAGTTAGGCAGGGCATTCTTGCAGATGCTTGAATATGCCTGGTTTAAAACTAGTAAACATAAGTTCCAAATACTTTAATCAAGAAAACAGTACCCCCCTGAAGTGTGTTAAACTTTGGCCTATGCAACTTGATATGTTTGAATATTTTACTAAGCCTTTGTATTGACAAATAAACAGGAATACAATGAAAAGTTACATGAACAAAAACAAAAATCCACATCTTCTTCTGTCTCCTCTCTCGCCATCTTTGGACCACATCCACTTCCTATGCTGATCTGTTCACAATTCCCCCGTGCAGCAGTGTGAATTTTACAAGAAATTGTCCATTGAGCTCCTACCACCTGTAAGGGCCACAGTAATGGGGAAAACAGCTTGGGTTCTTGCAAAAGGTCTAACGGGGAGAAAAGGTGAGATGAGGATGTACTGCTGCTCATCTTCCTGAGCATAGAGAAAGACAGAAGAATTTCATCCATTTCAGTGTTGTACCTATAGGTAGCAGTGAGATTGGCCAGTACTTACAACAGAATTAAACTTGTGGTAGTGGTCAGCACATACCTACTGTGGAAGGATGCTGTCACTAAAGCTTGCAAGATGTTGTTGTTGTTGTAAATGTATTAAGCTTTTTAAAAAACAGGTTTAAAAGATAATTTCAATGACATTATGGAGACTTGCATTCATTAACACAAATTAATAGTTTTATGGGCAAGAATATCCTAATAGTAAAGTAGTTTCCAATCTGGAAAGGAAGAATTGAATTTAAATATGCAGAAGGGATGAAACTTTGAAGGAAAGTACTGGATCTATACATAAACTTTCACATGCTCTATCACATTCTTCCATCTTTCAACAGCAAATTTTCAATGTACAATCCATTGGTCGACAAGTCCATTAATTTTGATCTTGTATAGTAAGTCCTTCGCCTTGGTCACTCAGTATCGGATGTCACCTAGAGCTCCTAGAACTGGAACATTATAGCTCCCCACAGTTATCATTACATTGAGATATGATAAATTTTGTTTTTAAAATGCCAGCTGATGCATATTTTAAAAGGAAGATCTGAGGCAGTTTGACACTATTCTCTTTTCTCTTACAGAATTATTTCCCCAGCAAACAAGATATTTTGTTGGCCAGAAAAGCCACCAAGGGAATCGTAGAGCATGACTTCATCATTAAAAAAATCCCTTTCAAGATGGTGGATGTGGGTGGACAGAGGTCTCAGCGTCAGAAGTGGTTCCAGTGCTTTGATGGGATAACTTCTATTTTGTTCATGGTTTCCTCCAGTGAATATGACCAGGTTCTCATGGAAGACAGACGCACAAACAGACTGGTGGAGTCCATGAACATCTTTGAGACAATAGTCAATAACAAGCTCTTCTTTAATGTTTCTATCATCCTATTCCTGAACAAAATGGATCTCCTTGTAGAGAAGGTAAAGACAGTCAGCATTAAGAAGTATTTCTCAGACTTCAAGGGTGATCCTCACAGGCTAGAAGATGTTCAGCGTTACTTGGTGCAGTGTTTTGACAGAAAGCGGCGGAACCGCAGTAAGCCACTCTTCCATCATTTCACAACTGCCATAGACACTGAAAATATCCGCTTTGTGTTTCATGCAGTAAAGGACACAATCCTTCAAGAGAATCTGAAGGATATTATGTTGCAGTGAAGAAGAGCACCCCTTGTCTTGTTGAAATCTACCCGGGGTTATAAGTCAAAGCTTTTATTTTATCTTTATGGCTCTTGCATGTGGTTTTAGGACCCATGCTATTCACTTGGCTCAGGAATGCTGAAACTAGCCAGTCATGGAGGCAGAAGGAGTCCAACATTGATGTTAGCTACTGAATCATTTGGACGAGTAACACTACTGAAAAAAGTGGCCGTTGTAGGGTTTGACACCTAGTTTGGAATGTTGAATAACACAATCACCTTCCTATCTTAGAAAAATCTAACTCTGACACTCTATGTAAGGAAGACTTTTCATGAAAACTGTTGTTTTGCAAGGACAGTAACTGTGCAGACTGCCTTTCTCTGTAGTTTGGAGGTGCTGAGTTAACCAGTCAAACTAATGTAAATTATAATGAGGTTGGTAGTTGTACTAGAGAATAAATGGCAATATATTAATCACAACTCCACATGTAATCTTTAAATATGTAACCAGATCTTGCTTGCATGTGCAGTGTTTGCCAAAGATCTGGAGTCCACTTATCAGTGTGGATGCACAATTCTTGTCTGACGGTCTTGCATCAGTCTCTTGAGACACGCAAGTCTAGGACTATAAATGAAATGCAGTAGAACTATAAATGAAACCCACCAGGCTATGAGAGTCGTCTGTCCTGCCATTCCGAAGTCAAATGGAGGAGAAAATTAAGGCCTGGCTGATGTGGACAATATTTTGTTTTGCACTACATATACAGTGTCTTACATCATGGGAAACTGACTTCCACAGTAATACAGCTTGAGGCACGTACTAGAACATCTGACCACATATCTGCACATAGTGGCTGCTCTAGTGAGGTGTCATTTACGGAAATTCATCACTGTTCTCACACCTGCAGTTGGCAGTATTTGTAAAGCTCCAGTCTCTCAAATAACAGGGCTTTATCTGTCTCCAAATGTGTGGAAGCTGATTAAACTTTTTAGCAAAATTTTTGGTGATAGAGCAGCTGCTTGATTAGTTCCTAACAGCTGACCTTACACTTCTTACACAAGAAGAGCCAGCACTCTTGAGATCCCAATTTTACAGCTGCACTGATACGTTCGGACAGCAGGACCCTGCTGTAAACTAGCCCATTTTTAATCTTTTTCTTAATGGGATCTTTAGCGTATATTAATTTATATATAGTATGAGTAAACTGTCAAAATTAGTTGCCCATTTCAGGCAATGGTGTACACGTGTGAAATTGCAAGAGGCTGTGAATAATGTTGATGTGAACTGTTGACTTTCTAGCTCTCTAAACTTACGTAGTTAACTATCAGGTGCCTTTCTTTGTGTACAGATAATTCCAACTGTGTCTACTACAATGAGGTACATAAACAAAATGTAAGATCTGCCTTTTATTTCAATGCTGTAGTGTCTTTTTTTTTTTTTTTTTTTTTTTCAGTGTACTTTCAAACACAAATGTTTACCGTGCAGTTGGGACCATAGTTTGACTTTATTTAAAAAAAATCGGAAGGGCTTTCTCTAGCTAGACCAAGTCAGTAGAATCTCTGTATTTCTTGTCCCCTTTAAAACTGTAATGACATGTCAAAAAAGGAACACTTCAGCATTTAATCCATGAGGAATGCTGATCTAAAAAGAACCCTGCTCGGGAGTTTTCACATGTTTAACTTGGATAAAATCTAGAATCCTTCCTTTTGTGGCTTGCAGAAGTTCATTTCTCTGTGTGTGGTATACGCAGCTTCCTAATGCAGAAATCTGCTGCCCTTGTAGCTTTCTTTGTGCTGGCTTCAGGAGTGAAAAGGATGTGGTTGTGTTCTAGTTTTATATAATGCATATAAAATGTTTGGTGAAGTAAACCAGTAAGGAGCTGCAGACAGAAAAATCTATTTATTTTAAAATTACACTTCCACTAGTTCTCAAATGTAAACAGTAGTTAATTGCCTAGTTAGAAAAATCTTACTCACCAGGGACCAATTTTATTTTTTTTAACATTTAGTGATTTTTTTTTTAATATAAAAAGGAAAATATCAAATCACCCCGTCTTGAATGTTCTGCATTGTTACAGATGAGGATTCTGTTAGGGTAATTACATTTGGAAATGCAAAAGCATTTGGAAAAATGCTTCAACATGAGGTGTTACAAATAGTAGCTTACGGGTCTAGTGGAATGTATTTCTTCTGAGCATGCCTCTTTATTTGGTTAAACGAGATCTAAAGTGTTAACTCTTCATTACGTAAGCATTCAAATACTGTATTTAGACTTTGCAGTAATTTCTACTCAACAGAAGGCTTTAGAGCTATAGCAGGGCAACTCAAACTGCCTAACTTCCCAGTTGATTCTTTGTGTACTTCATTATTTTACCGAGTGTTCCATTTGGAATAATGTTCTGCCCATTTAACTCTTGAGAAAACATTCCCTTTTTAGAACCAGATATTATTGAAAAGCTGCCTCAGTTTTACATATGAAGTCTGCAGTAGCTTTAACTGCAATACTGGAGCATGAAACTACTCTTCTTTTTAATGCAAATGTAAGGTCTTGTATCCTTGGTTATCTTATTGATTTTTAGAAGAACTAAGCTAATAAATGTGATGTTCTCAAAGCAACTCTCACTGTTTCAGTTGCACCCTGAAAAGTAGCATCATGCGTTTCCATGTTTAATATCAACAACTCTCTTATCAAGTTTCATTTTTTTGTAATAGTAGTAAAACAACCAGTTCTTCTGGCATGCTGGGGCTGCTTCGTACCATAAAGTTGGCCTGTTAGGGCCCCAGGAGGAAGGTGGGGACATAGGGCTGCATGACCGTGATGCCCCTAGACTGCATCAATCCTCAGGTGCTATCTTGTCTCCTTTGGGCCATTAGGTGTAAGAGCAGCCTAGCTTTGGTCTGGGACCGTCCCTTCACACAGTAGCCCTGTGATTGAGGAAATGTAGAGGAGAATTTTTTGTGCACAAGTCAGAATATGGCTCTCAGCCATAGCTAAGGATCTAGCTCATGTTTTACTCACTGCAAGCCCTGTATATTCTGCTAAGGCTCTGTAACTTAAGAAGCTTTCTTGCTCAAGCATTATCATCCAACCATCAAGACTTTACAGTTGGTTAACAGTTTTGATGGGGGATCTAGAGAACAATTCCATAGCTCTATTAATTCTGCAACACAAAGAGCAGTTAAAAAATAGCAAACTTGTCTTTGTCAAAAGTAATCAATATGGCTCTGAATTTGTAAATGGAAAATGTGATTTAGTCACTCTTCTGACCATAACGACAAACAAAAATTAGACTGGAATACGATGTGCTTAACTACTTTAATGCAAAATGACACCTTTAATGTAAGTTGACACTATGCCATATTACTGACTGCTTCAAGGATTCAAGCGCACCACTGTTTTTAGTGCAATACTTAAATTAGTTTGAAACAGGTTTGAGTGGACCTGTGTCTTTGTTTGGTGCCTGATTAAACCATCTTAAGCAGAGTAGTTTGGAGACACTAGCTATCTACTGTGTTAGGTGAATATACATCTTTCAGGTGTAGTTATAACATGCATTGTCCAGTCATAGTGTGACACTTCATTGAGAGTTTCCACTAGAAAATCAAAATACCCTCAGTCCAGCAGGATTTCCTCTTGCAAAGACACTCTCATTCTAAAGTGGTAAATACATTTACCTGGCTGGGACATACTTTCAAATACATGCCTTACTGGATTTCCCTATGTGTAAATAGTACAATAAAGCTAGTCATCTGTGGTACTAGTAATTACTAATGCAGAATTCAAAAGGTACTACCCAGTATTGTGCAACAATCTTTAGCCAGACTTGGTGGTCTGCTCAATTCTTTTGCAAGAAACTGATTGTATTTTTCAGGGACATCCTGGAGACTATTTGCTGGTAAACACAGCTGGGAGGGACAGCTTTTTTTTTTTAATAAACTTCATAAGTTATTGTTCAACTGACTAGTCAGGAAATGGGTCACAGGCAGGACTACAATCAGGTGGAGGCCTTGAACATATGCTTTTAAAAAAAAAAAAAAAAAAAGCTCTTCGCTGTCCCTCCTTTGTCACATGCAGGTCACTGACAAGGGTCCTCCATGTGTTTTGTCTCCAGCAAGGACAAAGAGGAAATGCTTGCAGCATGTTTAAGCAGGAGAGCCCTATAATGTGATCTGCTATCAGTTTTATAAAAAGTGGCAGATGGGAGCCTATATTGAAAATCATGTTGGTGTCTTGTGCCAAAGCCAATGTTTTGAAGACTCCTTCAGGTCACCGGTAGGTGCCTTTCCCTCAAAGTAGCTAACCAATAAGTTGCTCTTTGAATTAGCTACCTACAAGGCAGTAACTGCTCTAGAATTACCAAGTGAATTGGGCTTAAACAATTTTTATCTTTAAAATGTTACATTATAATTGTTGATAAACTATATGTTTAATAGGTAACTGCCATTTTTAACAACCCATTGAACAATATTCTTGAGATATAGGGGGAACACAAGGTATTGTGGTGACAAAGATTTAATGGAGTTAAGATTATCAGCTGCTCTATTTTAAATAACTCTAGAATATTTCTAGTTTCCATTATAACTACACATCTGAATCTCATTCCATGTAATATAGCAGAGTAGACTGTTTGAGCTTGCCAACTTTATAGTAAATTACATGTTTAAAATTGTGCTGTTAAACCTAGAACTGTGCTGCTAATATGTCTGAAGGAGCTTCCACCGACTAGCATTTCTGCAGGCTTTTCAAAGCTAACTAAAGGGTTAACAGATTTGCTGGCTTAAGTTCAAACAGAGTGGAGAGCATTTGTGTAGCTCAGAGATTTTGGTATGGAAGGAGCTATAGTTTAAACTGTGTGGGAGGAGCTGATCGGGCCGAAGACTAAAATGTCACTGTACTGAAGCTGTGACAGCAGCTGAAGTGGAGACTGGGATAGTGTGAAATGTATTCCATCAGTCCATCCACAACACTGATTTCCCTTTTCCGCCCAGAATAGTGTCACAAGGCTTTTAGGGGTGTTATAAGTTATGAGGCGGTACCTAGAGTAATCAGGATATAATTGAGTCTGTCCAGCTTACTTGTGTCTTGTGTATGGGTTTCTTCCATTCCCCACTTCTGTGATGGTCTTTCAATTTAGTGCTGGTTCTCTAGTGCTCTGTAAAGATTTATAATGGGTGTGTTTTATTACTGTTCATGTGAAGCCCATTTTCTCTGGGCTTCACAGCTCAGGTTTTTCCCAAACCTGTGATACAAAGTTGTTTTAAAGGGGGAGGGGGGAGAGAGAGAGGTCCTGAATCTCTGCAAGCCTTATTCTGGATGAATCACTCTTATTTCTTCCTTTAAAATATCTTGGCTGACTGTAGTTGTCGTACTTCTAGGCTGAGACTGCTTAATTAACTGACTAGCAAGAAATGATGCTTTTGAGCAACTGCCCCCATACCCTCAAAATCCAACCATGCACCTGAGCTCAACCTCCCTGGACAACAGGTGCTACAAAATTGCTTCCCCATTTATAAGCCGCTTGGTACTGAACAGTCCTGGTGATTGGACAGAAGCACAGGGGTATCCTGTAAGGAATTTTCCTGGTCAAGGAAATTGCAGCATGGAGACTGAGCCATTGAAGGGATTAGAAACCCTTTTGTGCCACACGTTATTTTCTGTCCTTAGACAAACTAAGGCCCATGTTCATTTCCTCTTGTGCCCTAAACTTGCCAGGGGACAGCACTTTGACTCCACTTGATAAAGATAATATCAGTATGGCCTTTCTGTTTGCACCAATGAGCAGGGCAGTGGCATTGTAACCTATTCTGTAATTCCTTGCTGTGCCCACAACAATGTGTTCAGTCCTCTAACTCATTGCTCGGACAATAGGTAAAATGTAAATGCTCCTCACTTGATATGCCCCTCTTGCATTCGATAATGAAAATCCCTTGAAACAGCTGAACTTACTTGTTTAGCAGCCTAGAGAACAGCCCCCACCCTTGTTTTATTGCAGTAACAAAACACACCTTATGCTTTGCATTCTCCATATAGTTGCCTTTGTGAGCAGTGATGCTACGTGGTGGGGCCTTGATTCTTTTCTTAACCACTTTGAAGGGAGTTGCATGCAGAAAACTTCCCTCAGATGTTTAGGGCGGCCTTTATACACCTACCAGGATTCCAACTTTCAAACGGAATGAGCCTTGAGGCCTGCATGATGTTTGATGGTTATCAACAGATGTTCACATCAAAACAGCTATTGGTGCTGTCAAGCAACCAGCTGTATGCCATCCAGGGGCAATAAAAACTACACAAACTAACATGGTTGTTGTTTTTTTAAAGTGCAACTTGCTATAAATCAAATACTGATCTCCCATGGATGTAGGCAGTACCTATTTTTGCAAGCTAGTATTAGTCTCTTTCCCCATAGCAGTTGTC